ATTAGGTGCACAATGCTTTAAATTTAACAGGGAAATGGACAAAAAGTACACAGGCTACATCCAAGTAGGTCTGTCTTTCAGGTCCCTGGGCTGGGAACTTGTGTTGTTTGTATACTATCCTGATTTATGTTTATTTAAATAATGCCAAATATTAGTTTTAAATTTACAGTGATTGCTTTATAAGATATCTCAAATACTATTGGGATAAAGAGCTTACACTAAACAAAACAGTTTGTTTATACTAATAATGCATCTCATAGGAAATACTTAAAATCCCACATGTTCAAAGCAGGACAAAATTACAGCCTATCTTTCCACAGAGAGTTGCTATCTCCTGCTACCAAGAGCCAGAAGGACCACATGCAGATCACAAGGCCCCAGAGTTCCAGTCAGGAGAGGCTGGTCTGCAGAACTTCAGTAAAGCTGAAAGTGAGTTTTAATGCTATCTTAAAATAACCATTCACACATGCAAACCAATTACTGGTGCAGGTACTTAAGTGTGAAAGCAAAGGCAGAGCAACACCTTGTCCCACTCTGAAGTACACTAAATATTTACACGTTCCTATAAAGATGCCTCTGCATATCCAAATCCTGTATTTTGTACTCTGGAACTGTGGTTGTACAAGGACTAGCAGAGCAAAGCCCTCCTCTACAGCTGATGTTCTTGTGTGCTGGGATCAAAAATTGAAAGTGGATGAGATAAATACTTAAAATCATGGATCCATAGTGAAATCTTCTCAGCACACTTAACAGTCTCTTGCGTCCAGTGGCTGCACAAATTTTCTCCTCTATAGATAGACTGAGAAAATATTCCCCCAGTTTGCACACAAATGACAGCAGGTCAGTTTTGAAGGGGAAAGAAGGAGAAAAGCAGCACTCAAAACTCTAAGGATTATTTATGAACAAGCTGAAGCCCTATAAACTTGGCTACTGAAGAAAGACAATCCTCTCTAGCTTATGCCAAGTGGGTCAGACAGAGGAAGAACCTCAGCAGTCTTCAAAGTCGAAGCAGATGGGGAAGTGAATAAGTACCCATGTGAGCAAAGAGGAAACAAGATTCTACTCATTTTAGCTTGTTTCAGAGCTTCAGTTTTCTAGATACCATTGACTGACATAAGCAGAGGAGCTCACTTCTGTAGCAAGTATTAGAATTGAAGAGTAATTATTTAAGACTGCTATAGATGCAAAAAAAAAAAAAATAAATAGAGTCCCAGTGTGTGCAGATTGAGGATGTTGCTCAGCTCAGTAGGAGGGAAGTAGGTGAAGTGGAAGAAAGGCTCTAAGAGGCAGAGAATGGGAGAAATCTTCCTTGCTTTGTAGCTATGAAAAAAACCTCTTGGGAGTCTTTATCATTAGTGTTTCAGTATCAGAGATATAAATATTTATGTAGCTGTAAAGTAGGCTCTACTTTAGAGTTAATTGTAGCTCTAATTAGTGTGTTAAAAAAAACCACATAAACTTGAAAGTACATTTTTTACCCTTTTTGAAATAAAAAAGCAGCAGTCCACACATGCCACAGAATGACCATACATCACATTCCTTAAAAAGCTGAAGCTGACCTCTTGGTCCTTTCTCAGGCTTTACATCACCAGACAAGATCTGGGCCAAGACCATTTCCATACACAGGGATGCATCTCTGTCTCAGGCTAACCTCATCATCCAAGTGGCGAGACCTAAAACCAGCTCATCTCCCCCAGGGTCATGATTGTGGAGCTGGGAATCCCTCCATCTGCCTCAGCAATATAAAAACATCACTGCCTGCAAAATAAACAACACATGAACCACAGAACAATTGCCCCTCCAGTCAATGCTGTTCATGCCACCCACCAAGGGCTAATAACTTTTTAAGAGATCCTTCCCCCTAAAAAATACATCATACTTTGAAGAAAGACTTTGTGCAAAGTGACAACACACAACTTCTTTTCAATCCATCCCAAGGAAGAACTCCCTCTCCAAATTTCTGGGAGTTTTGCAATCAGACAGAGCAGACCTTGAAGGATCACAGAAATACATTGAATGAAGAACTTTTAAACTGAGCTGGAAACAGTGGAAGAAGGAGCATTCAGTGCTGCAGCTTGCTAGGGAGACACAGAAGCCAAGGACATGCTGAGGATATGCTCATCTTCCAAAGAAAATACTGCTAAGAGAAACAGGAATCCTTCCACCACTTATTTTAGGAGGTGGCTGCTGAGCTGCATCAGCTATTCCACTGGTGTCTCCATGGGTGTTTTCTATCCAAGACTTCTGCTGGAAGAGCCAGAGCTGCAAAACTTGTAAGAAAACTCAACAGAAAGAGGCACAGAGGGGTTGAACAACACCAACCCACTTTGGATACACACATCTTCACTTATGCAAACTCAAGTGATCTGATATCCAGGGTGGGTCATGTGGGGCACAGTCAAGATAGAAATATGCATATTGTCTTTGCTTGTTTTTCTGTGCGTGTAACTATAAATCAAGAAATTTGCTAAAATGAGAGGTATGAAGGAGAGAAGAGAGAGGATGTGCTGTGAGTAACAGCAAGGAGGGGGAACTTCAAACTCTTTAGCTTTTTTTCCTATTACTATTTATCATACATGCTGAAAAGTTAACTACCTTGCTTTAGGTAACTTTTTACCATGACAGCTATTCCTTTTAGCAGATATATCATCATTCTCACTGCAACTTCAGATGCTTTAAGATGCAAAGGAAGGACTCTCCTGAATCCCTCTCCCCATTAAAAAAGGTCCAAACACATTAACCTTGAAGGACCATGCAAAGCTGCATCTGCTGAAGTCAAACCTTTCTCTGCATGCTAGTGTAGTTGGAGGAGAAAATAAAAAAGATATACAAGGTAAACTCATGCTGGCTTTTTTAACAGCATCTGCACGAAAAGGATTTTTTCCTATGCAACATGTACAGTTGACCTGGGGTAACACTGCAGTGTGGGGAGTTGAAAAGGGATCACCTGATGAAACAGAAATACCTCCCTCCAAACTATATTGCAGGAATTCCAGCCAAGCACCCTAACCACAGCAAACAGTAAGAGCTTTCTGGAACAGCACACGTTCTGTGTCAGCAAAGCAGCATTAATACAAAACTCAATTCAAATAAAGGAACATTGACCCTTCGGAAAGGGTAGGCCTTCATCAGGCTCTTAGCACGCCAAAGACCACCAAAGATACTCCAAGCACTGCAAAAAAATTATTATATAAAAAGGAGGAAAACAATGTCAGCCTTGTACATGTTTTGTTGCTGAATAATGACAGTGTTTACCTTCCCAGCCTAACACATTACTGCTTTGGACCCAACTTTAAAAGAGAGTACGTGACAGAATTAATTATGCCCTTTCCTCTTAACTACCATTCCCTGGTTATTTATTAGTTCAGTCTGCATATATTCATAGATGTGTCTAATATATAGTGTTAAAAGGACTTAAAACTGATCCCTAAATACTCCCTTCATTTGCAGAGTCCTCTCCATCCTCTGTACAGGCAGTGGCATCAATAAAGAGAGCCTCAGTCTGTAAATTAGTCACTGCTCAAGCAGCTGAGGGAGACATGGGGGAAGCTCAAGCACAATGCAAAGGTACGTCTCTAGAGCAATGCAGTGCTGGATCCCAAGCAGCAATCTCTCTCAGACATGCTCTCAGAGGGTTTTGCTGAGGACTTTTCCACCTTTTTGGCTCACTCACAGTTTGTAGTCCACCAGCCCATCCCCATGTGTTTCTGGAAGAGACAACATCTACTCCACATAAAATACCCTGAGTTCAGCACTGGCAAAGGAATGGCAGATAGATAAACTCCAATGAGCTACCTAAAAGAAAAACTAAATGGAACTCAAAAGCCTCCCTGCACTTGTCTGTCTTCATTATTCTAAAGTCCTCCCTGAAGAGGGATAAATACCAAGGAAAAGCAGATAGGAGAAGACTTCTGGTTTAAGACAATCAATTTTATTTCACCAAGGTCCCTCCTCTCAAAGAGAGAAGCTGCCATGCTGACCATTCAGTGGGAGGAGATGGAAAAGAAGAGAGGGTGGGTACTGCAGAAAGCAGAGACAGGAGAAAAATTAAAAGCCTTTCACAGACACTTTGCAAAGAGTAGCAGCAGTTTTGTCAGGGTAGATGTTAGGATATTATATTCCCTTGTGCACACTGCAGTTGCTTTTGGCTTCATCCAGGATCAACAAGCAACTCCAACTAACATATAAAATTAGGTGTATGCCTAGGGATTAACTTCTTGTCTTGCATCAGAGGTCAATCAAGTCTTCTCTCCACCACAAAGAAAAGCCCAATACATTTTGGTACAGCAGCACTTTTAGCTCTTCCACCCATTATCCATGGCACCACAGCACTGGATTTGTGCTCAGAATGCCCCAAAGGTAGACAAAATTTAGAAAGAGACAAGACCAGGTGCTTTCAGTCAACACTCAGATCCTGTCAAAGACCAATTATATGGAATCTGCATTTTAGAGGTGTATATGGGGTTCAGAAGATCAAAGGAGAGGTGTTAATTTTGTTCATGTTCTCCTGTATTTTGGGCTAAAAAAATACAAAACTCTCAAGCTTCTTATGATTTTTCCGTATTAGAAGCTCCTGCCTAAGGATAAGAGGGAAGAGAAAGGGATGGAGGAAGAGCAATTGTATCTAAAAACCTGGAAGCATGAAGGTTGCATTTTATAACAAAATGAACAAGTTTATTTTCCAGTGGGAAAAAAAAAGCAGAGCAACTTTTGAAAAAAAAAAAAAATCGATGAGATTATGCAGTAATATGCAGATATAACCTGTATTTCATTATTCTGCACGATGTCCACTTCATCTGATTAAATGAATAAATGAGGTCCTTATGTCATACAAGAGGCATTACCCCACTTTTGTTTACAACATCTTTCTAGCCTTTAACCACAGCACACAGAGCACAGCTGGCTGGCAGCTCAACATTTCAACCCAACATGCAAAAGAAGTTAAGATAGGGGAAGTGATTCTAAAAAAATCCACAGGAAAAAAATCTTGCTTCACTTACCTAAGCAAAGTTGTCATTAGAGAGTTTTCCAGTAATAAAATCTAAGAAAAAAAGCCTGAAAAAAACATAGAACAAGGCAAAGTTTTAGTACATAGGATATTACTCTCACTCATATTTTTTTCTTGGGAATTGGAAAAGTTTAAGTGATTTAAAGAAAAAGTAACTTCATTCCATTAGTTGCCTTTTTGATAGTTATTTATAACAAAAAGCTCCTCCTCAGACAGCAATGTATCAGAAACAATAGGGCAGATTTTTCACTGCTGCTGCCAGCATTATACCAGTGCAATTCCCCAAATGTCAATCACGTCGGGTTGCAATAAAACTAGTGTTATCCAGCAGACAAGTCAGGCCTAAGGCAATTAGCTCAACTGCCCCATTTAGACTTTCAGTCACCTCTCCCTCCCACTGAGATGGATTATCAGAAAGTTTGGACCAAGTTGTGGGGTGGGAATCAAGGAGTCACACATGTTCACACACAGAGTAAGGCTGAAGAAGGTGGCCAGAAACAAAAATGCTGCTTATAAAAAGAATACCCTAACCACTCCAAAGCTAATTGAAAAGGCTGAGGTAGAATAACACATACCAATATTAAGAAAGCTGGGAAATACAAGACCTCATTATAGGCAAAAAAATTCCAAAGCAAAGTACAAGTTATTGGCAAAAATGGCATGTGGCCATGACAAGTTTCACCAAAATCACTGCTACCAGAAATCCCAAAAGCTTGTTGAGACTCATGAATGCAGACTGGAAAGGGGAAAAAAAAAAAAAAGAAACCACACACCCAAACTAACTGAATATGGATGACTGCAAGCCTCCAAATCAAAGAAGGAGTTGACCACTGTTTAGGAGGAAGAAATCACTGCTTGTTCCAAGATTAAAAACTTATAATTCTGGCCCCAGCTGAAGCACTATCATTCACTAATCTGCTGCAATTTAGTCGGGCTGATCCCCCGCTCAGACAGACGGGGCATTATCAAAAGTTCCTCCATTCATTTTGCTTCCTGTTAGGCAGTGAAAGCCCCTTTTATACCCTCCTAAAGCCAGGGAAGACTTTCCGATAGAGAAGATAAGGTAGCTGGATTTATTCATGAGAGGAGGAAGCAAGTTGTACAGGCTGATTACAGCTGCTCCAAAGCTGAAAACTAGAGGTTTGGAGAAGAGAGGTAGAAGATGATGGATTTCTTATTAAATAAGCATTACATCACTACCATTATTATTAGAAGTAACATTAACTCTCCTGATACTCAACTACAGAACTGAGATTTTACTCTGAACTTGGCATCATCAAATATGCACATGTGGTTAAATAATTTAAAAATACACACACAAGGCAGAATGTGGTATTTTTCTGGAGATTGAGTAAATAAGTTTTTTAAAAATAGAATACCTAAGACCAAAGGATAAACTAGCCAGAGTCAGAGGGAAGACACTAAAAATGGCCTCCAGATTGAGACTGTTCATATAATCATTTTCAGGGTCAGATCTTGTTCTTATTGTCGACATGAGCACTCTCAGACTTCAATGGGGTAGGACGGTGATTTCCACATTACTTAACATGTGTCAGCAATTTTGAACAGTTGCTTTGCAGATTCTTAGAGTAAACCAAGCAAAACCTCACCAGTGAGAGCCCAGTACAGTATTTGGTGGATGAAAAGCTGTCTGGAAACTCTATCAAGTCTCTGAAAAACACTCTCCCATTAATGTTCAAACAATCTGGTAGAGTTAGAATAGTTTTTAAATGCAACAAGATGGGAATGCAAACAAAAACACATTTCTCAAGTTTAAAGAGGTTGAGCCAAAGCAGCAAAGCTGTACCAGAAATTAGGGCTAACAATGATGGTTGTAGGGGTAAACCCTGCCTCTTCCTTCCCCTCTCCCAGACTATTTTTCTCTGAACGAAGGAGTAAAATAAACAAGAATCAAAATATCCACAGCAGAAAATCACAAGCAGCTTTAAAAGAAAGAAAATAACTCAGCTATACCTCATCATTACTCCATTCAGTCCGAACACACATTGAATCTTTAACTGTTTTCTCCTCTGACAATGCTAAATGAGATAAAAGCAAGCAAAAATTATATAGATATATATTTAATATACTATTATATGAGTGGGAAAACTTAAAGGCACCAGTTTGAATTAGACAAGGATGGAGTGTAAATCTCTGTTGGGCAGAAAGAGGGAATAATCAAATCTAGAACAGCATGAAGACCCAACAGTGATGGTTCACAGGTCACCACAGGGAGGGTGAAGTATCAATGGTACTTATGTAAATGGAGACAGGTTGATAAATTAACTCTTGCCTAGCAGAATACTCATATGCAATCAAACAGCATCAAGCTACAACAAAATCCAGAGCTTATTTTGATCCACCCTCCTCCTTTAGGTTATTTTATATATACTAGACAAAACTTGAGCACAAACTGTACAGATCAGTTTGCCCTGTGGTCACATTATTTCTTCTCAGTGATCAAATAATCAGGGAATGAGGAGACAGCAGCCTCTTTTCTATTCTTACTCCAGCCTGCATCTCTGCAGACACATCCACTTCAGGCAAAGCTCAGCTGACACCCCCTCTCCCCACTTTGTGCTGCAGTAGGATCTTGCCTGTTGTAACCACCAACTTCAATCATAAACTACAGCAAACTCTGCAAGTGCTCAGTTTAATGGGTATCTCAGAAAAAGCTGCCAAGTCTCAGATTCCTCCCATAATAAATAAGGTAATATTGCTCCCCTATCTTCACAGACACTCTGCAACACAAATCTGAAGGGACAACAAACTGTTATAAATCTCCAAGGCACAAAAGCAATTTTACATGTTTATTTGCAGTTTCACACTATGAATGAGGACAAACTTATCAAAGCACAAAGGATGTTTCCTACAGTGGGAATGTCATAACAGGATGACAAGACAGCCTGCTTGTTCTGCATGTTTGGTAAGATTGTTGGGTCTTTCTCATCACAAAACCACTCTTGTTACACCACTATTTAATTAAAACCAAGCAAAAGCCCACCCAAAATTTCACACTTGTTTTAAGGTCCAAGGAAACCACAAGTGGCAAGTTAGAGCTTATACTGCATCACAAGGAAATGAAGAGGTATGAAGGAGATTTTCCTTGGTATTTTCAGCTTCACAAAAACCCAAGTGCAGCAATGTTACAGGTGATGCAAGGGAGTCAGACCAAGTCTGAACACTCTTCCTCCCACTCAAGCTGACAGATTACAGGAACACCACAACCAGAGCCCAGGCCCACTGGTACAGTGCTGGATACAACTCATTTTGTTCAGTGAAAATATGACTCTACACATATAACAATTTCAGGAAAGCCAAAAAAAGAACAGGTTTACTCGGGTTCTTCTGCAAAGTCAAAGCTGGTTGTTGTGATGATGCCAGGGTTTGGAGGTCAGTTTGGGTTTTTTTTTTTAATAACCCCAAAACCTAAAAGTTCCTACTTTTAAAGACCACCTTATGTTTCTCACGGGCCTGGGTATGGATATACAGATGCCCAGTTTCTAGCATCTGTACTGTCAGTAATTACACTTGGACTAGCTGTGACTGAAGGCAATGGAAAGTTTCAATAGTAGTTTCATTGTCACACAAGTCTGCAATTCCAGATTTCTGCACACATTGCAAGGGGCATGGGGCATTACTAGTGGTTGTTAAAGGTGGCTGCAGCAGTGTTTAGAGAGAAAAGTCAGCAAAGAAATCCAAAATTCGGAGAGCAAACCCTGCACATTCAAATCAGACTTTGCAAACGCATGATGCACTGCAAGAGAAAGGATTTTCCATCTCATCTCCAAGCACACACTGCGGTGCCAGGAAGGTTAGAGGACTGCCAGAGCATGCACAGGAGGAGATTTGTCTGCAAACAGCATAAACAGCCTTGACTAAATTCTTGTAACCAATTAAGCAACAATTCTCCACTGAGAAAACAGCATCTCCCAGCTCTCTGACTAATCCTCAATTCCTGCTTCTTGAGCTGGCTTTAGATTTTTAAGTCTTCCATTTTTCTTCAGAAGCAGAGGACAAATGGATGCCAGTTCTGCAGACAGCCTGGTTGCAAGGCTTTCATTTGCCTTTTAAAGACCATCAGTACTCAGAAGTGACTTAACACTAATGAGCTTTCACCAGCAAGTCTGCAAACATTACTACATGTGAGTAGGCATACTAAATCTGCTCAAATTACCTATCTGCAAGGCTCTCCTCCAGCCTGGACTGAACTTCAAGCCAAGGAATGATGAAACCTGGAAGGTAACTATGGATTTTCTCTCATCTGCATCCCTTTGTTAAGCTACTCAGTGATGCTAAGCAGAGGCATTACAAATGTGCTAGTTCATCTCATGTAAAGGGGTGAGAAAAGGAAAAAGAGCCAAAATAGTACTTTCCTGGGAAAAAAAAGCTAGTATATTAAACTAAGTACTGCTACTGTTTGTAGAATGGCCTGTAAGAGAGATATAGCTGAAATTCCTTGAAATACAAGTGTTCAGTTTTTAAACTGCAAACAAGTCAATCTGACAAACCAGCTCAGTTAGGATTGCTCCAACAAAGCCAAGGGTCTCACCCCCCACCCTTTTCCTAAGTAAGCCAGCACAAGTTTCTGGCATAGGCACTGGTGTGTGAGATTTTAACATTCCCCTTTCCATAAACAATCATACATCAAGCTCTAAAAATTTGCTTCACAGAAATATTTGCTCTAGTAAAACTCAATTATTCTAATATTTGTATGACACATGCAGGAGGGGTACATAAAAAGATTATGGTGAGCTCATTTAAGAATTTAAACAAGAACTTGATAAAAAGGTTTTGAATTATTCACTCAGCTCAACTACTAAATCAGGCTTCCAAAGGAGTCTTTAAACAACAGCCCAGAAGATGCTGTATTTATAACAAAGAGGCAGCACTGAAGCCATCACACTGTCTCACACCACAAACCATTCATAATTACAGTGTAAATGCACACAGGCACTGTACCGTGCCTTGGTCACAATCCTGCCAGATTAACTGGACACTTTAAACATTTATACAAAAATTCCTGTCTGGAGAGGCAGCACCACTT